CTGCCGCTGCCTCACCCTCCCGCTGCCCTCCCTCAACCCCTCCGCCTCCCCGCCCTCCCTCTCCCCGCCCGCAGCGCCCCCACCCCTACTATGGTGGCAGCCACCGCCGGCTGCAGCAGGCTCCCTTTGTGCGCAGCCTGCTGTCGTACTACGGCCCCTCTGCGCACCACCGCCGCCTGGCTGAGCAGGGCGTGCCCGAGCCGCTGGCCTTTGCCACGCGCCGCCTGATGGAGGCCTCCGTCGTGCCCCTGCCCCACCGCCTGGCCGACGGGGGCGCCTCTGCCGCCCGCCACCTCTCCGGCTACTACCACTCGGTGAGAGGGAAAAAAAGAAAGAAGCGAAACACATGGCAGCCAGGACCAGCATGCGCAAGCTGCGGCGCTGCCCTGGCCAGCCCGTGTGCCCCCATCACCTCACGCCCCTGCTCACTTGCTCCTCCTGCCACAGTCTGGCCGCCGCCTGTCCTCCTACTATGGCGGCAGCCACCACCGCCGCCTCATGAGCCTGGGCCAGGCCGACGGCTTTGCCGGGCGCACCCTGACTGGCTACTACCACGGCTCCCACCGCCGCCTCTCCTCCTACTACGGCTCCCACCGCCGCAGCCTGATGAGCCTCGCGGGCGAGGAGGCCATGGTCGGCCGCACCCTGCTGCACGGCGGCTACTATCATGGGGTGAGCTAGCTGCCTACAGGTCCTGGCCTGCGTCTGCGCAACACAGCCATTCGCTTGCACCCTCCTCAGGCCTGCGGTGCATGCGTGCATGCCCACCTTTCAGCAAGGCCCAAGCAGCTGCAAAGCAACCGCGCTGCCAAGACCACCACATGCTGACCCGCCTGTGTACCACGGCCCCTGCCTGTTGTTGCAGGCTGACCACCGCCGCAGCCTGATGAGCATTGGTGAGGAGGCGACGGTCGGCCGCGCCCTGCTGCACGGCGGCTACTACGGGGTGAGTCGCCTGCTCCCAGCTGGCTGCCTGGGCCTCTGTGCGATTGTGCTTGGTGCACAGCCAGGCATGGACACTGTGCCCACCTTCTGCCGTGCAAAGACATCAACACAGCCACACGCTAATCCGCCACCGTTGGTGCTCTCCACAGGATGCCCACCACCGCCGCAGCCTGATGAGCTTTGGCGAGGAGGCGACGGTCGGCCGCGCCCTGCTGCACGGCGGCTACTACGGGGTGAGTCGCCTGCTCCCAGCTGGCTGCCTGGGCCTCTGTGCGATTGTGCTTGGTGCACAGCCAGGCATGGACACTGTGCCCACCTTCTGCCGTGCAAAGACATCAACACAGCCACACGCTAATCCGCCACCGTTGGTGGTGCTCCCCACAGGATGCCCACCACCGCCGCAGCCTGATGAGCTTTGGCGAGGAGGCGACGGTCGGCCGCGCCCTGCTGCATGGCGGCTACTACGGGGTGAGTTCCTGGCTGTCTCTGTTGTTTCATGTGCCAGCTGCTCTTCAACTACCCCCAGCCCACGCGCCGATCCGCCCATTGACCATCCCCCACCCCTCCTCGCCCTTGACCCCTGCAGGACCACCACCGGCGGTCGATGCTGAGCGTGGGCGGCCAGGATGCGGCCATGGGCCGCGGCCTGCTGCACGCCGGCTACTACTCTGGCAGCCACCACCGGCGCCGCCTCCAGCAAGCGGGCCGCGGCCTGGCCTCCTACTACGGCAAGCACCACTGAGCTGAGCGGCTGGCGGCCAGAGCCGCAGCGGCTGCCACCCAAAGGTTGAACAAAACACATGATTGCTGGGGAAGTGGTGGCGTGTGCCACTGGGGCCCCCGCCCCCGCCCGGCATGACACAACACCCAGCTCTGCTCGGAACCCAACCCGCGGCGCGCCGCCGCGCTTGAGCTCGGCGCGCCCTACACCAGCCAGCAGGGGGCCATGCGGCCCGCCTGCTGCCACCTGCCTCTCCCCTCTGTGCACCACGCTCTCCGTACCTGCACTTGCTGCTTTTTCCCTTCTGCGCTCGTTTTGGCTTGGGCGCGCCGCCGTCTAAGGGGCCCTCAGTCCCCTGTCGCTGCGTGTGGTCTCCCCTGCCTTGTGCCGGCCACGTCTTTGTCTATTCACACTGTGTGCTGTCTCCTCGTGCCCCTTGATTTGTCGTGGCAGTATTGATTCGTCGTGCCAGGCGCGCTGTCAACTGGTGGAGCCTGCCGATTTGCGGCCCTCCAGTGGCAAATGGTCCCCTCATTTGGTCCGCATTGTGCCGATACGCATGCCCTTCTGTCTGAAGTCCCAAGTCTCTCACCGATTGATTCGTCTTGATTAGTCCTCACCGCCCCTTGCCGCCGTGGCCGGGCAGCAGCAGCTTAGGCACCTCTCTTAGGCCCAGGATTCCTCCTCTATCTGTCCACTGCACCCCATAGGCAGCTCCTCGCTAGCCCAGCCCTCACCACCCATTCCACCATGCACCGTCGCTTTTGTCCTTATGCTGCAGTCGCCGCCGGCGTGGCACCCATGTGTCTTTGCCTGCGGTTCTGTCGTTGTTTTCCAATGCATATCCCCATCTCCACCCACGGATGTAAAGTTGCACAGTGATGGATATTCTGGACCAATTTGAGGCAAAAAAAAGGGCATCACAATCAGCAGGCAGGGACAGACAGGCAATCGTGCTGCTGAGGATCGTGCTGTGCCGTGAAATGGGGCTACGTGACTTTAGGGACCCAAAGCCGCGGGCCGTTTCTTACCGTCATTTCTTCTCTCCTGCCCTCCAACTGCTTCCGAACGAGCCCTGACGTCATGCCTCTCCCTGCCGCTGCGCAACACTTCCTTGGCTTCGTGGCGGGCTGCGGACTAGGTGCGTTGCGCAAGGGGTGCAGCTCAAAGATGATCCTAGCTCACGAGGAGCAACGGGGCGGCAACCGTGCATGTTGCCGCCGCCGCCGCCGCCGCTTGCACGCCGCGCCGACACGCCGCGCCGAAGTTGGCGGCCCCCCCAGGCCACTTCATACTCATTTCCCTCGTGCCCCCGCTGCAGGCACCATTGCCTACTTCTACAATCATCCAGAGGAGGCCTATTTTGGGGACCACACGTACATTCGCTGGAAGAGCTCGCGCTGGGACAGCGAGCGGGTCGCCCAGGTGGGTGGGGAGTGGGCGGCAGGCGCAGCAGCACGGGCCGCCCAGGCGCAGCAGCAGGGGCCGCCGCTGCAGGCTGGTGATGCCAGTACCCTGCCCGGCTACATGCACGCTCCGCAAAGGCTGTCTTGCATGCATGCATGCATGCGGTATATCCGACTGGGCCCGTGGCGCTCGTTTCGTTGGGTGCAGGTGCGGCAAGCGGCCAGCCAGTCTGCAGTCCGCGAGCGGTGGACCGACCCAGGCCAATCCGCCTGAGCACATCGTCCTACCTGTCCTCTGTCTTATTCTTTCATGCTGCTGCTGCTACAAACGCTGCTGAAGCACCCGCAGCCCATCAGCCAGCACAACCATACGCCTGGCTGCGGCACGGGCTCCATGCTGATACTAATGACTCATACAGCAATTCACCCGCACTGCAATTTTGATGCTCTCACTGTTCCCTGCACTTGGCTCCCTACTGCGTGATGAAGACAGTGCACCACGCTGGCCACGTCGTGCATCCAAGGGCAGCAGGCGATTTTAACGGAGCATCTCTCCATCTGTACAAACTGCGATAGCATTTCCTAGCCCAGTGTAAACACTGGCATCTCTCCTAACCTAGTGAACACCTAGAAAATTGCTGGCTGGCACAGCTAGTAGGGCTACAGTGGCTGCTTGAGCCCGCTACACCTGCATGGGAACATCCCGCTGCTGCTGCTCCGCTGGTGGCTGGTGCTCGGCATCGTCATCCAGCGGCTGCACGAGCTGCGGGGCATGCGCGGGGGGGGGGGGGGATGACTGCAGAGATCAGCCATCATACAAGAGCCTCAAACCTGTGTGCTGGGCACAGCAAACACCCGTCCAGCATGGGGGCTGCCTCCCAGGCCTGCCACCAGGCTGTTGATACCATCACACCTTCATGGCGGTGTCAATCCGCTGCTGCAGCTGCTGGAAGCGCTGCAGAAGCTCTGCTTCCTCTGCTTCTGCCGCCGCGCTGCTGCTGGCTACCTGCGAATACGCAGGCAGGCGTCCGTTGGGGAGCTGGGACCCAGCCGAACTGGCAGCCCCAGCGAGCCCCCTGGTGGGCGACAGGTTGCCACACAAACCAACATGCGCAGTGCCTGCCACGCTGCCGGACCCACCCCCCCATTCACTCGCTGCTGGAACCCGTCTCACCTCTGCGTTCCGGCCCGCCACGTCATTCAGCAGCGCATTGCGCTTGAGCTCCGCCACCACCCCCAGCAGCGCGTGGCAGGCTTGCAGCATCTTCTCCGCGAACACCTCCATCACCTCTCCCGGTACTCGCCCCTGCACAACAGCAGGCGTGCGGGCGGCGAGGAGGTGGCGGCGGGGAGTGTCGGGACGGCAGCGGTGGAGAGCCCTGTCGCCCAGCGCTGGAGATGCCACCGGCTGTCCTTGACGAGCATCATCCCAGCTCGCCGGCTGCCCTGAACTCAGTTGGCAGGCCCTGGCGGGCACCCCGCACCAACTGCGCACCTGCCTAGCCCCCGCATCGCCGGATTCATCTGGTAGCCTGGCCGATCGCAACAGGTTGGCAAAGTTGTCCAGCAACTGCTGATACTCGCTGCGGATGCGGTCTTTCAGGGAGGCTGTCGCCATTGCTGCGTCCTGTGCCACCCTGTGCTGCCTGTCGATGCGAGGAACGGCAAAGGTGTCACGAGGGCTGCACACAAAGGGCTGGGCCTGCATGGCGCCACCTCCCGCCTGCCGCCACATGGCAAGTGCCGACATGGGCGATCCCGCAAGAGCGTGTTGTATGGTTGTTGCATGGCCAGTTTCCTGACATGAAAGGGGATGGATGGAACATGTTTGGCAAGCAGGACGGGATGAAGTGCGCCTCCAAAGGCAGCAAACAAGAGAGAGTTGGGAAAGGGATTATGAAAGAGGATTGCATGCATGAAGTGAGCGAGGGAAAAGAGCAACAGCGGTGTGCAACCGTCAAGCTTTGGATGAAAAGGTGAAATTCAGACAGCAATTTGAGCTGAGGCCGCACAAAGTGCCGAAGAAACAACGGCCGACAGATGGACAGGAACTTAGTAGGGATCAAGTGGTCACGCAGGGCGAGGGGGCCGTCCCGGCACGCTGCTGCTGGAATTAGAAAAGGCGCTGGTCATGACGCTGCGGCTGTCGTTGGCGGCAGGCGCGGGTGCAGGCTGGTCCAGCTGCTGCCGCTGCTGCCGCAGCATGGCCGCCTGCCGCTGCTGCAACATGGCCCTCATGGCATTGTAGGCAGCGCCGCTGTTGGAGCTGCGCACCACCCGAGGCTCCTCTGCATCAGCCGTCGAAGCAGCAGCAGCCGCAACCGCAGCAGCAGCACGGGCTCTCCGCATCTCGGCATCCAGCATCGCCCTGCACGCCGACGGGCCATTGTGCGTCATCACTTGGCACCAGGAGTGGCCTTGCCCGCCATGAGGCCCACCATATAGCCCAGCGACCCTACGGCAGCTCTCAAGCATCTCATCTCTATGTCCACCTGCAGCCCCGCTAGAGCAGCAGCCAGCAGCAGGCACACGCACCTCAGCCGCTCTGCAATCGTATCGAACTGGGGGCGGCCTTCGGGGTCTGTGCAGCGGCAGGCGTGCATCAGCTCCACATACTGCTGCAGGCCGACGAATGGGCCCGCCCGCAGTTCCTCCACCGGAGGCGCCTGCAGGCTGGCACCGCCTTCGCGCTGGACGATGGAGATGATCTGCAGGGCGGCAAATTGGTGAGGCAGAAGGTGTGTTGGGGAAATGGGGAGATACACGGGGACACCTGGCATCTGCATGGTTGGTGCAGCGCCATGAGCTGGCCCCGACAGGTTGGGTCAGGCACCTGGTAGGTGTTAAGATCTGTGAACGGAAGCTGCCACGTCAGCAACTGCATGGAGCAGACAGATCCGAGGCATTAGGAGCCGCCTGGGGGGAGGGGCGTGGCTTGAAGCCCCCTCCTCAGACGCAAGCGTGTGAAATGCTGGCAAGCAGCAAAGCACAGAGGCGAGGAGCGGGACAGCTCCGTGGCTGGCAGCAAAAACGTGCACCCACCTCCCACATCACTGTGCCAAAGGCCCACACATCTGCAGGCAGGTGGCCTGGCGTGCCGGCCATCACTTCCGGCGCTAGCCACCTGCAGCAGTGGGCAGCGTTGGGGGCCTGGTAAGACCTGCGCTCTCGCGCCTACCCGCGTGCCCGCCCGACTTCCTGCCTGCCCGGCTTCTGGCCGGCTTTTGCCCGCCTGCCTGGCTTCCGCCCTGCACCGCTCCCTCACCGGGGGTTGGTCATCACAACCGTGCTGGCAGCCTTGTTGCGCTCCACTGACCGCGACAGGTTGAAGTCAGCCACCTTGACCTGCCAGTTCCTGTCCACCAGCAGGTTGGCCGACTTGAGGTCGCGGTGTGCGATGGGCGGCTCGCGGGTGTGCAGGTACAGCATGCCGGTGGCCGCGTCATGGATCATGCCCAGAAGGCGCACCCAGCTCAGCTGCTCCGCAACCTGCGTCGGTCGCAGCGGGCGCGACGGCGCGGACGAGCGTGGGCGGTGCAGGTTCCACGTCAGGGGCCGAGCTGCACAGCACGGCGCACACCACAGCGCAGCGCAGCGCGAGCCCGACGGCCCGTCCTACCTGCGGGCTGGCACAACCCAAGGTCAGCAGCACGTCCAGGGAGCGCTTCTGGCAGTACTCCATCACAAGCGAGGGAGGGCTCTCACAGGCGCCCAAGTAGAGGCAGACTGCAGGAGAGGGAGCATCCGAGTGGCAGGTTGTGTTCTCTCAGGGATGCATGTGCTGGGTTGGACCGCAGCCAAGCAGCAGGCTGGGGCAGCAAGCATAGGTGGCCCAGAACACTGTGGCGCAGCCCAGCGGCAGGAGCCATGGCAGCGCCAGCCGACCCCCAGCAGCGGCGGCGTACCGTTGGGGTGCCGCAGCTGGCTCATCAGCAACGCCTCGCGCTTCAGATCGCTGTGTTCTGTCCCTCCAGAGGCCGCCCCCTCGGCGCTGCTGCTGCTGGCGTCGGTGGTCGCCGCGATTGACTGCCTGGAGCCAAAAATCTTAACCGCCACCACTGCACCATAGTAGCGGGCGCGCCACACCTGCCCAAATGAACCCTCCCCCACGCACTCGATGAGCTGGATGTCCTTTGGGGCCACTGCACCGGCACCGGCACAGCCACACAGTGCACGTTGGCAGGGCGGGCACATGCGTGGCGTGGAGAGGCGGCAGGACAGGCAGGCAGCAGACAGGTGGTTGCTGACAGAGGGCTCATGTGTGCAGCCTAGTCCCTGGGGAGGCAAAAAGGGTGGTGGAGCAGCCTCTCACCATCAACCAGGCCCGGCGGCAGCCTGGTGAGGTCCCGCTCAGCGTCCAGGCTGCCGCTGCCGGCAGTGGCGGCTCGCGGGAAGAGGGAGGCATTCTGCTCTGCACCGCTGGCCTGGCTGCTTGCACTTGCCAGATCCTTGTTGCTCCGGCTCCGTCGCAGCTGCGCCGGCAGTGGCGGCGGCAAGGTGGCGGTGAGGCGCAGCTGGGCCTGCACGTGCATGCATGTGCTGCTCTGCCAGCAGCAGGCTTGCGCCCGCTGCCCGACCACACTGCTGCTGCCGCCTCCAAGCATGGCCAGCTGTGCTCGCTCACCGTCGCTCTGGCAAACTCTCCCATCATCTCCCACTCACTGCTCCTTCGAGGGCCGCGCCCAGAGGGCGGCGGCGGGGCGCCGCCGGCCCCCACCAGCGGCACGTCGCTCGCCGCGACGGCAGCAGCCGCGGCAAACGCCGAGACCGGCACGCTGCCGCTGCCTGTGTGTGACGACGGCGGCGGGGGGGTGGAACCTGGCAGGCTGCTGATGCTGCTGCTGCCGTCGCCACTCGCGCGCTGCTTCTCGTCAGGCGGCAGGCTGCCGACAACATCCTTGCCGCTCAGCGCCGCCGCCACGCTGAGCTGTCTGGCGATGTACTGCCGCCGCCAGCGCGTGTACCGCACAGCCAGGATGGCGGCACACAGCACCAGCACGGCACCCGCCAGCGCGCCCACCACGATGCCAGCCACCTCGCCGCCGCTGCTGCTGCCGCCGCTGCTGCTCTCGCTGGCCGTCCCGTCGGTGGCAGCCCCAGCGCTGCCGGTAGGTTCAAACCACTCACTATCATCCACCAAGTCTGGCGGCAGAGCCAGGGCCACCTGGATGTCACACAGGGTGATGTGCACCAGCGCAGAGGAGGTCGGAATGTTGAGCGCTATGTAGCGGCCCGTGGCGTTGCAGGCGCCCACAGCCCAGCTGCCCGGCTGCAGCGCCAGGTCAGCGCCGCATTTCGGGTGATCCGTGGGCGAGTCGTCGGCGTGCGGCGAGACGTGCACGCTGGCCGTCAGGCCCGGAGGGGTGGCGCTGCCGACGGCCACCGCTATCGCCCCCACAGGCGCCATATAGCCCAGATCAACAAACACCCAGGCTGCAGCAGCAGGAGCGCGGGGGGCAGCAAGGGACAGGGCATGAGGAGACGGCGCAAGGCACAGGGCGACGGGGTGAAAGTTGGTTGAACCAGCTGCAGGCATACGTGGGGGGTGGGAGAGCGCTCCCAGGGGGGCAATGAGCCCTCCCAGCCAGTGCGCGCTGCTGCCCCGCCTGCCTCGCCTGTGGTGGGGTTGTCTGGGGAGCCGGCATCCGCCTGAACCGCCACGCAGGTGGAGGCATTATTGTCCACCAGTGACTGAAGCGTGATGCTGGCGCCGCCGCGGTTGTTGCTGAGCGAGGAGGCCGACAACGGCTTGTTGACTGCAGCGTTGGTTTCTGCATGTGGTGCGCAGGCAGGCAGGTGGGCAGGCAGGCAGGCGGGCAACAGTCGATGTGCAGAGAGCAGGGCAAACTGTGCAGCGAGCAGGCCGCACCGCACGGCAGCAGCACCAAGGGAACCCACCCACCGTAGCTGTACACTTGAACATCGGCCAGGCTCATCTGGCCCTGCAGTAAAGGAGGGGCCAGGTAACGCAGTAAGGCCCAACCGCAGGGCGGCGGATGCTTGGTGCCGGCTGAAGCAGGGAGCAAGACTGGGTTGCAAGGCAGGTGAGGGAGGCTCTTGCCACGCGCCGGCGAGGGACAGGACAGCAGCACGGGCTTGCCTCGCTCGCCATCCCGGTGTAGACAACCACATAGCGCCCTGCCGTGGCGTTGGCCGCAATGCTCAGCTGGGCCCCCGGCTGAACGTCCAGCCCAGACTGCAGCATCGGTATAAGGAGGGCGCACACGCTGTCTGTAATGCCCTGCCATTGCCAGAGGCGCCAATTTCATGCAAAAAAAACAGGAGGTTGTTGCGGCAGCCAGCGCTGCGGAGGAGACCAAGAGCTGCGGCACCATGCTCACCGCCACCAAGGTGTTGCCAAACACGGAGCTGCTGTTAGAGCCGACGTACAAGGAGGCATTCTTGATGCCGCCGCTGCCGGCAGTCAGAAACACGCTGACAACCTGCAGGCAGGCGGGGAGGTGGGGTGGCGGGGGGACATCCTTGGAGTGTGTGGATGTGGGGGTCAGGTCACCACGGCACAGAAGCTGGGCGCACAGAAGCGAGAGACACGGGGCCTTGGGGAGCGAGGGCCGCAGCTTCTCCGCACCTGGAAGGGGGCCAGCATGTCCACAAACCAATACACCGGCTCGACGAGAGCAGTGTCGCCGGCAGCCGCGGGCGCCAGAGAGCCAGTGTATGGGCCAAGCTGTGGCTGGGTCTGGTTGGGCGGCCTGCGAGAGGAGGTGCCCCAGGTGAGACAACGCTTGCTGGCACTTGCTGGCAGAGAGCACAAGGGAGTGTCAAGCTTGCAGCCGGCGGCGCGCTGCCTCTCCGGGTGGCCAGCACCGGCAGTTGAGGGTTCAGCTGCGTGGGCCCACCTGTCCGGCCAGTTCAGCACAACCTGGGCCGCAGCCATGGCGCCAGCCAGCCCCTCAGTCCCCGCCAGCTGGTTCCCGCCAGCAAACTGCAAGGCGTTGTGAGCAGGTGCATGCTGATAAGTGCAGGCATGCCCCTATGGCAGGCACTGCAACTGCAGAGCAAGGCTGCGTCGCCCACCATGCCAAACGCCACGTTGCCGCCCATGTAAGGCATGTGCGGCCCGGGGCCCTTGTCGGTTGGGTAGCATGGCAGCGACAGGTTCTGCCCATTCTTCATTGCGCTCAGCCCCGGGTTCAGCAGCAGCAGGTCAGAGATGCTGCACGCAGGAGGCGACAGGGCGGGGTCCGGTGTGAAGGGAAGGATTGTGTGTGCATGCACGTCTTCTTGCATGCACAGTGGTGGTGATGTTTCTGGGCACTTGAGCATCCAAGCGATGCACCCTCACCTCATATTGTACACGTGGGCAACGTCGTAAGCACCAGTTTGGATGCTGGGCGGCCAGTTCAGGCCGGCAGGCTCAATCCAAGGGGGGGCTTTGCCGAGCTGATCAGCTGCAGCCAGCATCCGGCGGCAAGCCACTGAGGCAATCAAATGCAGCATGGCAGTGCCGTGTGGCCATGGCAGCGGCTCGCAGGGCAAACTGCTGACTACCTGTGCATGGCGTCATGCACATGCCAAGCCAGTTGGTCAGGGTGACGCTCGTGCCCGGAGTGAACAGATCACGCTCAGTCAGCTGCAGCAGGGGCGTGGGTGGAGGGGGGTGAGGGCAGCTCATGCCACATCTGACAATCTGCATCAAAATGGGCCTTGATAGCTGCTAGCCTCCACCCGGCAACGAGGGCAATTGAAGAGTAGGCTTCGCAGGCAGCAAGGGGTCAGCACACCCACGCACAACGAGGCTGGTAGAGTCGCTACTGCTCTGCGCCGGCGCTGCTGCTGACGAGTATAGGCTCGGATCGAGCGGCGGCACAGGTCCTGCAGAAGAGAGCAAGTGTGGGTGGACAGCAGGGGTTGGGGGGGGCGAGGAGCTTCAGCGGTGCACAAGCTGTTTCAACTCACCACACAGGCGGGTGTTGCCAGGGCGTGGCTCCAGCGTAGCGAGGCGGGCAAAGGCACCATAAGTCCACTGTGGGACTGGAAGGAGGCCTGCAGCAAGGCACAAAGTAGCAAGCGACGAGTCGCATGCAGGTCGGTGCCAGTGACCAAAAACAGACCTCAGTGAACAACGTGGAAGCCCCCGAAGCACCCGGTCGCAGACCACCCACCGCTAAGGTTATTGCCCTGCAAGCGCAGCGTGTCCAGAGCCGGCAGGCCCATCCTGCCACCCCAGCTGGCTGGGAGGCTGCCTGTCAGCTCATTGTTGCTGACATCGAGTTGCTCCATGCTGCTGCTGCTCCAGGAGGGTGGCAGCGTGCCACTGAATGCATTGCCGGCGATGCTGATGCTGCGCGTGGCGAGCCCCACCAGCGCAGCGGGTAGGGCTCCTGCATAGGCACGTGGCAGAATGGGAAAGAGATGTCGAGAGGAGAAGGCAGGCACGGGGCATGGCCATGCACATACGGCAAGCTGCACAGGCAAGGAACCACCCTGAAACCAGCGAGCAGCAGCGCTGGCTTGCGCACCTTGCAGCAGGTTGCTGCTGAGTTTGGCGGTTCCCAGGCTGGGGAACCCAGCGGGCTGGAGCCACGCCGCGGGCACCGTGGAGCCCAGCTTGTTGGCTCGCAGGTCGAGCAGGGTGAGCGCGCGCAGCGCCGCCAGCTGCGGCGGCAGCGTGCCCTCCAGGCCAAGCCCACCCAGCCTCAGCTCCACCACCTCGCCATCCTCGCCGCATGTCACGCCCTTCCATGACTCGGTGCCGCCGCTGCCATCTCCGCCGCACGGGCTCGTGCCACGCTGCCACTCGGCCCCGGCCAACACCGCCGTAGCGGCGCCCCAGTTGCCTATCGCCGCAGGCAGCGCCAGGAGCGCCGCAACTGCGCATCAAGCGGGCGGGAGCCGGACGTCCAGCGTGAAGGAGGGCAACAGCAAAAGCAGCAAGTTGCGCAGTGCAATGGCCCGGCCGTGCGTTTGTGGGCAGTATCTCCACCCTCTGCCCCTGCGGGCCGTGCTGCTTGCCCTCCGAATACTGCAGGCCTGAGCGACCACTCGTATAGCACTGCGGCGGACCGCCTTGTGTGCCGGGTCCGGAATGGGGCTTACCGTCGCCAGTCTGTGTCAATCTACGAGACTCCCCATGGACCAGGAGTAGCAGAAGGATGGCCTGGAGCAGCGACACCGCCCTGGCAGGCCACATGGGCGGGGGGCTAGCGGCGGGAACGCCAGCAGCTGTGTCCTCCCGCTGACAGCATAATGCTGCGTATACGTGCGGGTGTTCTGCAGGCCGGGAGTCTTAGATGAAAGTGGTGGGGGCCAGCTCAGCAAGAGGTGCGAAAATCAAGCCTCATTTGCTACTCAAGCCTCATTTGCTACTCATTTGCTACGGCTCCCATGTTCGCCCTGGCCCCCACAGGTGGTGTGGGTCGGTCTCTTCTGCGGTGTGAGCCATTGCCATCCATATTGTTCAGCATTGATCAGCCGTGCCAGGCGCATACGATGATCTCTGGGCGGTGCGCCGTCGTCCTGGCACTGCTGTGGAGCACCAGCGACACGGCGGGCTCGCCCGCTACCACTCCCGCCCTGGCTCCCGCCCCGGCACCTCAGCTCGTTGCGGCAGCAGCCAAAGGCTGCCAGGAGTCGCAGGCACGGCCTTACATCCTGCCCAGATGTGTGGGAGGCGTAGGGCCAGCGAGCTGTTGGCCTTTTCCTTTTTTCCTGCTGGCCAGCCCTGCCGCGAGCAGAACTAGATCGTGCCAGAACAGTTACCCCATGCCGCCACCCGCGTCGCCACTCTGCCTCCCGCCGCTCCCATCCCCACCGCCGCTCTCCCGCCACTCCCTCCACCGCGTCCACCCGAGGACGCCAGCGCTTCTGGCCTTGTGGGGGCTTGGCCCCTTCAACACGTCTCATGTTGGACTCGGCCTGCGTCTGCCTGGCCCCCTCGCTCTGCTCCCGCTCCCCGCCGCGGCGCCGCCCTTGCCTGTCCCTGTCGAGGAGCCGCAGAGGACACTGAGTCGGTTTGTGAGCTGACGGTGTTGGACGCCGCAGAGGAGCAGACCGAATCGGTCAGTGACCTGGCGGCACCACTGCCGAAGTGAAGGCCCCGATGCCGCTGGTGCCGCCTGTTGGAGGCTTTGCCCCCGTAGCGGCGTTGTGTTTTGCCCCATGCTTGACACCACAGGGTCAAACCCATCAGCTGCGCTTGCCTCTTGTGTGCCGCAAGGCAGCATCAGGGCAGCCTGCACCCGCTTGGCACCGCTGACACCTGGTTCCCCGTCCCCAGCAAAAATAAAGCGCGTTGCCTGCTGTTGGAGTTCGGGAGCGGCATTGCGTCTCCCTAAATCTTGAACCGACTGTAACAGTACCCTCCCGCATTGCCCTCTGTGGCAGTTCCCAAGCTGCCACTATTGCGGCACTTGCGGGCGCCGTGGCCGCTGGCGCCGCCACAGCTGGCGCTCTCCTGTCAGCAGTCGGGCCGGCTGTCCAAGGGCTGGGTCGCTGAAACCCTCTGCGATCATGCATAACATCGGGAGGGCGGTTCTACATCCTGCTGCGCATGCGCTGCTCAGCTCACGTCAGACTTCACCGCAGGCAACTAATAAATAAACTCTCTGTCGGTACCTTCTTTCGAGTTATTCTGCGAAGATATTTTTATCCCCTCGCCGAGCAGTTCGGCCTCAACCGCGGGTGACAGTCACCATGGGCAGCTGGCTGATGCCAACCCTGGGGCGCTCGCTGGTGGCAGTCGCTGGGGTGGGCGTAGGTGGGCTGGTATTTACACAGAAACAAGCGCAATGGGGATGAGCCGCCGAGGTGGGGCAGCACACCAAGCGCCGCCCGAGCTCTTCCCCGCCCCCGCTGCAGGAGTGGTGGCCCAGCTTTGGCTCACGGGTGCCAGCCTGGAAGGAGAAAGTTACCGCGTCAGATGGCGGAATGCGCACTGGGACCAATTACGGATGGCTTGCCAGGTGCCAGCAGTGTTCACCCTGCCCTAGTTGCGGTTGCGCTGACTGGCTGGATGCCTGCCTGTTTGCTGCCAGTCACTGAGTCTTGCCAATCTGATGCTGTGTGCAGGCTGAAGGTCCGCAGTAGACTCACAAACAACAGTATAAAACTGTCAGCACTTGAACACATTGAGTAGATTCCTTCGAAGTAAGAATTCTTTCCCATGCAGCCCTATATTGTCATTCATTACATTCCCGCACCTTCAAGTGAACAAAAGCGCATGTGCTCGATTTCATGCACTTCATGCAAGCTGCCGCAGCTTGGCGGCCAGGTGACTGGCCTGCGCCTTGATGGCCGGCAGCTTCTCCCGCCCCTCTGCCGTGCCCAGCCGCGACAGCACCGCCACCCGCTCAGCCTCCGGCAGCGCCCTCCACAGCTGCTCCAGCAGCAGCTCGCTGGAGGGCAGGCAGGCGAGCACAGCAGGGGGCACAAGCGTGTCAATGCAGAGCGTTGCTTGCAAGAGGAGAAAGGCACAACCCTTGACCGCCGCCGTCTGTTCCCTAGCAGCCCCCGCCCGCTCCTCACCTGAGCTTGTAGCACTGCTCCCGCAGCTGCGCCACTTTGCCCTCCTCCGCCAGCCGCAGCGCAGCCTGCAGCAGCGCTGCCACGCCCTCCTGCTGCGGCACCAGCACCGTGGCCTGCCGCGCTGCTCCAGGCGCCGCCGCCGAGATGCGCGCCGCATGCTCCGCCACGCGGCACCCCGCCGCCACCGCCGCCATCTGGTCTGCCGCCTTGCCGGCGGCGCACAGCAGCGCCGCCAGCGATGCCACAGCCGCATCCGCATGCGCCTGCGCCGTGGCAGGGCCTGCCGTGGCAAAGGCGGCCCCCAGGCAGGCGGCCACCTGCGCCACCGGCACCGCCTTGCCAGGGTGCGCCTCCCCCTGCTGCTGCCCCTGGTGCTGCTGATCGGTCTCCATGGCACCGCCGCCTTGGGCAGCTTCCACGTAGCTGCCTGCCAGCTCCAGCATAAGCGGCGCTACCATGGGGTAAAATTCTCCCGCCTCTGCCGCACCCTCAGCCTCCCCAGCCGCCCCGCTCCCGCCAGCCACTACACCGCTGCCGCCACCAGCCACGCTGCTGCCACTGGCTGCCCCATCCGCACCGCCGCCACCAAACGCCAGCAGCACCACCTCCAGCTGCACCAGGGCTTCCTTGCGGTACGCTGCCCGCTTCTTGCCCGCCGCCTCCAGCAGCGCCGCCACCACGCGGCGGCGCTGGGGCGGCGCCAGCGAGGCGGCGCACGCCGCGCTCAGCGCGCCCGTCGCACCCAGCACCACCTCCTTGCCCTCCCAGATGCGCCCGGGCAGCTCCTGCTCGCCAGGAAAGCAGCCGGGAGGAACACATCAACACCAACACGCGAGAAAAGTTGCAATCCATCCTTCCACCCTCCCCAGCAGCAGCAGCCAGCAGCTGTCCCAACCTTCAGCAGAGCATCCAGCAGCGCGGGCGCGTGCGGCACCAGCGCATCCGCGCCAGCCTTGCAGATCTGGGCCGCCGCCGCCGCCGCCGCCTTCTTGCGGCTCCACTGCCCCGACTGCAGGCCGGACGTCACGAGCTGCAGGGCGGGGGGGAAGGGACAGGCAGGCAGGACAGGGCAAGGCCAACAGCCGCGTGAGCCACTGGGTCGATCATTGCACTTGTGACGCACACAAGGAATTGCAGCTGGCTCGGCAGGGCGAGCGCCCGACCCTGGCTGGCTCGGTCACTCGTCCTGGAAACTGCTGCTCGAGTTGAGGCAATGATTGCCTGCTGCCATCGTGCCCTCGCCTGGTTCAGCGAGCACGTACTGCCGCCTCACCTTCACAACCTCTGTCATGTGCAGGCGCAGGCCTGCGCCCGCGGACGCCGTGCTTTCCTCCCACACCTCGCGCCACACTGCCGCCACGTCAGCTTCCTCATCAAACTGCGCAGGCAAGGGGGCAGGCAGGACCACGCCGGATACGTAAGCTTTCTGCTGCGGCGGTGATGATTTGATCTTTGCGCCACCAAGGCACCCATGGGTGCGTCGCCAGCGTTTGGCCAGAGGGGCGGTCAGCACCTGAGCCATGTAGGCCGGGGGCGCTACCTCGCCGGCATGCGCCTCCAGCACATCAGAGGACTCGTGGCCCAGCTCCCGCAGCAGCAGACCTGCAGCGTCGGAAACGAGCGCAGAGAAGGAGGCAAGCGTGTGTGGCACGGTAGCAAGCAGATAAATACAAAACAGAAGCAGGTTGCCCGCGTCATCTCCGTGCTGCTGCCAGGCCCTCTTGTGCCGCAGATGGTTCAGCGGGCCGCTTACCTGCCACGTATCGATCGTCCCTGTCGGCGCCCTCCGCTGCCAAGCTAGCCAGCGCATCCGTCACAAAGCGGTTGACGCGGGCGGTCGGGGCGTGTCGGCAGAGCAGCGCTGCCGCGGCGGCATAGGCCTTGCGCACGGCGGGGCTGCGGTCTGAGCGGCAGGCCTCGGTCAGGGCCTGCAACGCACGGTTGTGGAGTAGGGGCAAGCTGGATGGTTCCGTGGGGCGTTACGCATGGGCAGCGCAGGACAAACACCAGCCACGGTTGCGCAACAACAGCCAGGCAACACAGGGCAGCCACCAGCGCAGGGCAGCCACAGCGCAGACAGCCGCCCATGCACGTCCGCATCACAGCGCAGACAGCCACCCTAAACCCACCTTTATGAGCTGGGAGGCCAGCGGCTGCATGTCGCCGCCCAGGCGCCGGGTGACCTGCGAGCGGGGAGAGGTGCTGGTGGTATGGTGAGCGTGTAGGTTTGGGGGCAGCATTGATTGGCAAGCAGGGCGCAGCCGCCGTGCCTGGCCAGGCAGCCATTCAACTCGGCTGCTTGACAGCCTTCCCTGCTGCTTGGCGCCGGCAGCAGCGCCCTACCTGCGTGATGAAGCGGCCTGCGCCGGCGCGGGTGTTGAGCCCCACTCCACGCCGCACCAGCGCCCCCAGCCGAGGCGCCAGCTCAGCCATGGTCGCCACGTCAGCATACCTGCCAGGCAAACAGCAGGAAGGGGGCGGGCGGGGGGCAGCACTTTGGCTGGGCATGCCTTGGTGACTGGTTGACAGCCGTACATGGGGCCAGCAAGCCCAGACAAGCCCGCCGCAAGGCACGTCCTCAATCGTGCTGAACCACGGACCACGGCCGCTGAAACCGTCCCCGCTGCTGGCCAGCCCACCTGGCGCACAGATCCAGCGTCTCTCCAGCAGGGCCGCCCTGCGCTGCCGCCACACGCGCCCCCTCCAGCCGCCCCGCATCCAGCCCCAGCCGCTCCGCATGCTGCTCGATGTAGTTGAGCCGGCTGTCCTCCAGGCCGCTGCGGGGCAGGCCGGTGTGGTGGTGGTGTGGGTGTGAGTTTTTGGGGGGGCACATTGGGGAACTATTCGGGGCGAGACTGATGCAACTGACGAGACTGATGCAACTGGCAGCAAGGCATTGCATGCCAACCCTTGGGCCATGCTGCCAACCTGCTCCGCAACCCCCTTTCTCCTCCCTGCCCCCAGGCGCCCACCTGAGGCTCTCCAGCATGGCCGGCACCAGCAGCGGCATGTGCGGGCGCAGCAGCTCGGGCCCCGCCGCCGCCGCCAGCTTGCAGGTGGTGTCCAGGGCCAGCGCCTGGACCTCAGGCACGGTGGAGGGCAGCCCTGCAAGTTCCGGGAGGCAGGGAGGCAAGCGGGCAGAGGCGGCAGCCCACGTGAGCGCAGAGTGGCTGGTGGAGCAGGCAGTGGGAAGGCCCAGGCCGGGCATGCCTGCCAGGCACCAGCAGCGAGTGGTTTTCAGAGCGGGCGGGCTGCCAGTCGGCCTCCCATCCAGCCTCACCTGTCTCCAGCATGAGGGGCAGCGCGACGCCCACCGCCTGCCGGCCTTCGCCAGCCGGCGTCAGCTCCACATCTGCCAGCCGCAGCGTCAAGCCTCGCACGCTCCTGCAGCCAACGTGTGGATTCACCATCATCCCTCAGCATGTTTGAAGACAGGATGCTTGCAGCAGGAAGAAGCAGCGGTAACAGAGTGTGGCCCACCTGGCCAGCGCAATGCCTGCCTGCCTCACGCTCTCCTTGATGTCATCCATCACCCTGCGCACAGCATAGCAGAGCAAACGGCTGGGCAGGGAGCAGCTCAGCGAGCAAGAACCAGCGCCAGCTGCCTACTTGTCTGCAAACACAGCTGCTTGTTGGCACGCACCACGCCCTGGCCCGACTCTGCCCCTGTCCCCCTGCACACCCCTGCCCTGCCTCACCTCAGGGTCATTACCCACAGCTGCTCAAAGTGCGGCTGCAGCTCGCCCCAGCGCCGCCCCTGCAGCAGGTCTCCCATGGCAAGCGCCGCCGCCTCCCGCACCCGCCACTGCCCGCCGCCCAGATCCACAAGCAGGGCACGCATGATGGCTGCAGGGGGCAGGGGGGCAGGGGACAGGATCGAGGATGAGGCTGGGAAGCAGTATAGCAATGCCACATGCCCTGTGTCAACACGCCAGTCCAACCACTCGACATGCCCCGACAACCTGCAGTCTGCCCCCATTGTTAATGATGCCACCGCTCGTTCACCCACCATCAAAGTTCTGGGTGACAGAGGCCTTGGGGTCATCCAGCAGCGCGTGCCAGATGTGGGACATGGCGTCCCGCACCTGCTGGTGCAGAAAGGGTAGTGCAGGGGAAGGTTGGCCAGAGCGGGGCGGGCGCAGGGCGGGCCCAGCGGGCGCTCAGCTGTCGCTGCCCGTGCAGGCGATGGTGTCAGGATACTCGGGGGTTATGGCAGTATGCTCTGGAGTATCCCCGGAATGGTCCTGCTGGGCTCGCACCTTGCCATTGGGGTCGTACAGGTATCGGTAGAGGCGCGGGATGATGCGCACGATGTGGGGGCCCAGCTGCTCGCCTGCCAGCTTGGCGATGGAGGCAAAGCTGCACAGGGGCAAGGGTTGAGGCAGAGGGTAGAGGGTCGGGGAGCAGGTGTGGGCGTCGGCCGGGCGTGATTTGTGGATGGCAAGCCAGAGATGTCGGCGGCATGGGCCGTTACAATCAGGCACAGCTCAGCATGAATTGCCTCACCCGAAAGCTGCGCCGCGGCTGCTGTTCACCGCCGCCTGGTGGTTTGCCAGCTCCATGAAGCGGTACACTGCAGGGCGGGCAGGCCGTTCATAGCCGGGGACAGGCAGCGTTCAGTCTTAGGGACAATGCACGCCTGTCCCAGCTGCTAAGCTCCATGCTTGTGCCCAGGCACGCTGCTGCTGCCAGCCCTGGTGCACGCTGATGAATGGACTAGCCTTCCCCACCAGCGAGCCCAGCCAGCCCATCACGGCCCACTCACCCAGGTCTGGCTGCCCCAGCTCGGTGGCCAGAGAGCACAGCTCTTTGTAGGTGGTCAGCGTGCCGCCCCCGGGCACCGAACCCAGCTGCCCCGCCTCAAACAGCTCGCTGTCCTTGCTCAGCTTCACCGCCCGCCGCTTCTGGGGCGCGCCTACAGGTGGTTCGGGGACACAGCGGAGGAGGAAGCGTGCTGGGCACGGTAAAGAGGGCCACAGCGGCGCCGCTGTCATCCAGCCAGCCAGGTTCTCCGCCTCCTGCCGACCACACACTTTCGCACCCATCCATACACATACCGCTGAGCGTGCCAATTAGGGAGTCGAGCAGGGCCTTGCGGGTGCCCTCACCAGCCATGTCGTACACAGCAGCCAGCCCACGGCTTGCCATCTCCTGTGGGGAGGGAAGAGCATGGGGTGTGGTGCTGGGAAGCGGCCGAGCAAGAAAGCACTTTGAGTAAGCAAACACTTCAACGGGCACACTGCCACCGACACGTTCCCAGCCCCCCTCCAGCCTAACCCCACCTGCGTGAGCTCGTTCTGGTCGCCCAGCAGCGAGCTGAGCGCCTGCTGCACATCTGGCAGCAGCGGCAGCAGGCGCGGGTGGCGCCCGCAGTACAGCAGCAGAGACACCAGCCACACGGCGCCCGCGCACCGGACCTGCGGGCAGGGAGGAACAGGCAAGTACGATATACTGTGTTGCCGGGGGCGCTGCTGGCTGCTGCGCACCATGCAAGGAGCGCAGAGGAGCAGCAGGTCGAAGCAGAGGTGCATGGTCATGGACGCACCTCCACACGCGAGTTGAGCAAGCACTCATCCATCACAGCGCCCAGAATCTGCTGCTGCGCGGCCGCCAGCGCCACACTGGTGCCTGGCGCGTCACCGCCCGCGGTCGCGCCATCTCCCTCCACCTCCATAGCTGAGGGCTGGGCTTGATCTTGTGCCGCCCGCCCCTGCCCTGGCTGTTGTTGCTGTTTCCAGGCTGCTGCCAGCGAGGTGAAAGGAGTATGCAGGATGTCGTCAGGAGTGACTTGCACGCCTGCAACACGACGAGGTGACAAAGAGCGCAAGCAGCAGCTGTCAGAGACACGCTCCTAGCAGCCAACCCCATCACCAGCAGCAACAGCAAGAAATGCTTACCTCCAAAGCAGAAACAGAGCGCCTCCCCCGCCGCGAACAAGACCTCCTCATTCTTGCTGGTCCTCAGCGCCAGCAGCGCTGACACAGACGGCTCCAGCAGGCTGCCAACAGCGGAACCGCCGGCGCTGCTGCTGCTGTCAGCGGCAGCAGAGGCGGTGGCATCTGCTGCCTCCTTGTCGACATCGCCGCCTGGGGGTGAGCCAGCGGGAGCCGTGGCTGCCACCGGGGCTGCGGCATGAGCCCAGCAGAGGTATCCCAGAGCTGCTGCGGCCTTCTTGGCAATCTTAGGGTCCTTGTCTGCTAGCAGTGTGGCAGTCTCGGCAGCCGCCCCAGCGGCGTGTGGCAGGGCAGGCAGCAGCAGCCTGGCTGGCTCTGTGCCCTCGCTGGTGCCAGCTGCCGCCAGCGGCAGGCCGGCGAGGGCCAGCGCCAGGGCAGCGCCTGCGCGCAAGCCGCTGGTGCCAGCGGTGGTGGAGGCCGCCGCGGGAGCGGCGGCCGCGGGGGCCTGCAGCAGTTGGCGCAGCTGCTGCAGCAGCGACAGCAGCAGTTCCTGCGGCACTGGAGGTGTGCCTGCAAACAGGGGGGGACCACAGCGGGGGCAGTGAGAGAAACAACAAACATGCCTGCCAGCAGCCAGCAGCGAGGCAGCTGGTACGCTGTTGGTTGCAGCAGCGATGGTAAGAGGCTCTCCGACTTGCCTTTGAGGAGGTGCGCCGCCACGTAACCCGCGCCCGCCGCCGCCCCCTCCACCTGCTCCTGCTTGGCGTGCTTGGCGCCGTCGGCGCCGCCCACGCGCAGCGTGCTCAGCAGCGCATCGCACAGCGCCGACACACGCGCCGTTGGGCTGCCGCCCTGGCTGGGCACCTCCTGGCCGGGCTGCTGCGCGGCTGGGCCCTTGGGGGGCGCTCCCAAGTGCGGCACCAGCATTCCCAGCAGCTGCGCCGCAGCCTGCCGGGCTCCAGCATCCACGTGGCCCAACAGGTGCAGCAGCAGCTGCTGGCGAGGGGCATCGGCGGCAAAGGCAGCCGCAAAGGCGCCCTGCTGCGCCGCTGCCACCGCCAGCATGGCGCCCAGCGCTGCGGCGTGCAGCTCGCTGGGGGCTGCCGCCAGCAGAGCATTCTCCAGCAGCAGCAGGTAGCTGGCTGCCGAATCGGGAGCCATGCCGCCGCTGCTGCCAGCGGCGGTGGTGCCTGCCGCCTGGCGCCGGCAGGATTCTAGGAAAGAAATGGCGGCCAGGAAGGCCTGCAGGCGGCAGCGGCAACAGGGGCTCAGCGCGACAGGAGAGCAGCGAAGCGGCATACGTGCGCATAGGAAAGCAGCATCGGGGCCCACGTCCCTGACAGCTGCTTGACCTCACCCTTTGAGGCAGGGCCAGCGAACTGCCCTCGGCAGGCCGCCGCCCCAGTGCGGGCACCTGCTGCTGCAGGTACTGCAGCACCCCGGCGAAATCTGGATAGGCAGGGAGGCTGGCGCCGCCACCGCTCCTGCTGCTGGCGGTGCTGCCGCCGCTGGCGCCGCCGCTAGCAAACTTGAGAGGGTGCAGGCCCTCGGCCGCTGCCTCGGCAATCTGGAAGCGAGGGTCGGCTGCCGCGAGGATGCACAGGTAGCGTGCAGGGATGTGGGCGAATGGGAACAGCTTGATGGCCCACTGCAGCATAGCGGGTTGGGGATGGAGCAGCGGCGGCATGGGACAGGGTCAGCGGGCACCGATGGGGCCTGAACCCTCCCTGTCTTGACCACCGTCTGCGCCTGTTGGCCACCAGCAGCTGGGGCCGCCTCACCTGCAGTGCCGCCATGCGGACCGCCTCTGGCTGCTGCTGCCCCACAGACTCGAGCAGCAGCTGCTGCAGCGCAGCCGCCGTCTCGCCCTTGGCGTCCCTGCACAGCGAGCGAGCAGGCACCCAGGGCTGTGAGAGTCGGATTGCGAGTGGGCTGTTGGCATGTTTGAAGAAAGCAGTGGGTACTGCGCACCTGAACGCAGATGCCAGGCTGGCCGTCGCCTCCTGCACCGCCGCCCGCACTCCAGGCGGCTCTGTGGCCAGGGCGGCAAAGAACCTGCGGCGGCAGCAGGCACCAGGCGGGCTTGCCACAGCTGGAACTGAAAGCGAGTACCAAGTGCCAGCCAGAGGTGGAAACCCTCGTGAAAAGCCCCCGTTGCACACCTGGCTGCAATGTCGGTCCTGCCGGCAAAGGCCTGAGGCTGGCGCTGTGCCAGCTGGCCCACTGCCTGATAGGTGAAGCCACGCAGCGTGAGTGCCGTGCTGTCGCCACTTCGTGTGCTGCCTGCAAGCGCAGGCAGCAGCGGGATGCAGCAGCAGCGGTTGCAGCCTGGCTGCCTCCAGGCCTGCAAACCAGCTATGAAAACAAGCCAGATTAGCAGCGGCGCTCATAACGTCCCTTGAGCAGCAGAAGGACGCCTACCGTCGTCCAGCAGCTGGAGGAGGCTGTCCAGTATCGATGCTGCTGCCGGCGCCAGCTGCTGCGGCGCCGCGTGCTTGAACACCCACACAGCAAACTCCATGCCCAGCTGGCGCAGGCGCGGCGTGGTCTGCCGGCCGTACAGGCACACCGTGACCGTCTGCAGGGAGGTTCTGCAACAGAAACTCAGCTTGGGGATTGTTCAGGCAGGCTTTCGTTGCAGGACCTTGCAGGTGGAAAGCTTGGGGGGGAAGGGGGGGGCGCCTGCGGCATTCACCGTGAGGGAGTGGGGGAAGCAGCTGGCAGCGGCGACGCTCTTGCAGAAGATGGAGAGCAGGCGGGCACGCAGCGCCACGCCTGCGGGTGGGCGGCGCTCCTGCACGCAGCCAGCGCGGGGATCGCGCATGGGATGTCGAGGGACATCGAGGGAAAGGAGGACTCGTCAATGGGATCCTCGGAGTTGGGATCCTCGGGACTTGGATGAGAATGCGTCCCCACACAGCAGGCAGCAGCCACACTTGCCTGTTCTGGCAGGGCAGCGTCATCGGCGGTACCATGAAAGAGCTCAAACAGCGGCTCCACCACACTGTCAGCCTCCAGGTTCACTGCACTCAAAAGGCCATAGGGCATACAAGTTATGGTAGCAGCGTGCTGAAGCCAAGAACGTGCCAAAAAGGTGCGGCAGTGGCAGCTATATTGCACGCCGTGTGCCTACAGCGCAGCATCAGCTGCCAGGCCAGGGAACGCAGTTAGTCTCACCTGTCGGCTTGTGAGCGTCGATGCCGCACCGCTTCTTCAGTAGCTCATCGCCACGACGGGACACCTGGCACAGGGCAGGGGCGGAACGGGGGCATGGGTGTGCTTTTGGCATCAACACAATTGGCCAGATGCGGTAAGCTGCATGCAGAATCAAGAGCAGAATCAGAAGTGGAGATAAAATCGCACAGAACATGGGTAGCCTGCATCGCTAGCGCGGTACAGTAGCAGTGCAGCAGTACCACCTGCTCATTGGGGTCGCAGGCGGCTGCCAGGTAGACTTGCAGCACCTCTGTCGGGTCCATGCCGGCAGCCGCCGAGAAGTTGAGGAAGCCCAGCTTCTGGCGAACCAGTACCTCCCCTGGAACAGCGACGCGGCAGCACATCAACCAGCGAGCAGATGAGGCACAGCACCAACGCGAAGGAGCACACAGTGGATGTGGTGCGAGCCACCACCCAGAGGCGCGCTCTCACAAGCCACCCTGGTGCCCGACTCGAAGCTTGAAAGGGCGAGCGAACGCAGAAACGTGCAGTGCCTGCTGCACACGGTGCAAGGCGTACAGCCCACACCTGTGGGCGCTGCCTTGCCCTCCACCGCAGCCACGTCCTGGCGGCTCATGCCGGGCGGCAGCCCCGCCACGGCTGCTGCGGCAGCATCCACATCCATCGGCTGAGGCCCATTGCTGCTGCCCCCACCACCCGCTGCCGCCTGCGCTGCTGCCAGCGGGTTGGCAGGTCCCTTGGCTGAGGTGGGCTGGTACAGCATGAGCAGCAGCGCAAAGCGCAGGACCAGCCTCCTGTCAGCGGCGGCGGTGCCGCTGCCGCGGCCTGCCTCGGCTGGCCCCGCTTCGGACGGTGAGGGCTGCTGCAGAAAGGGGTAGGCTGCTGCGAAATCCTTCTCGCTGCCGCGGGCAAAGCTGTTGCCGGTGACTGCCATGTGCTCCCAGCACTGCACCGAAAGCAGGCAGGAGGAGCAGGAGGAAGTCAGAACTCAAGGCCCTCCTTCATCACACACTTTGCCTCGCACCAAACAAACCAAAATGTCGAGGGGGACCATGCCGGGCAAGCACAACCAGCTTTCACACCTGCGCCGCCATGCGCAGCAGCATGTCTTGGTGCTGCTGCGGGCAGCTGCTGATGCCGTTCAACAGCGCAGGCAGCTGCAGCAAGCCAGGGGTGGGACGACAAGTCAGGAGCAGGATGATGCAGGCTGGATGGGTGGGAAGCTGCGGAACGCACAGCCAACTTGCCTCTGCAAAGCGGTCTGCAGGGGGCGCCCGTGCCACCGCCTGCTCAAGGTAAACAATGGCAAAATTGCGGGCCATGGGCCCAGTGCCGGGGGCTGCAAGGGAGCAGCAGGAGGGAACAGAGCAGCCAGCTGGATGGCAGGTGGTGGCGGAAGGATGGGAGGAGGCTCCCATTCTGCCCACAAAGCCGCAGGCCTTCTCACAACCCATTCCACCACCGCCACAACGCACCTGCATACAGCACTGCAAGCTCGCGCAGCGGCAGCCTCAGTGCGGGCAGCGACCGGGTGCGCTTGTTGCAGTGCGACAGGATCTCCAGCACTTTCTTCTGCACCGCGGGGCTGGCGCCCGCCCCCAGCTTGCCAATGACGATTGGCAGCAGCTTGGAGAGCACCTGCGGGCCGCGGGGTTGGCAGCGGCGGCGGATTGGCGCGAGCAGGGTGCGGCAACTCTATGGGTCAGTGCGACGAGGCATGCAGCATGCAGCCATCATAGCGCATGCGTTCCTTGTGCTGCCGGCCAGCAACAGCAGACGCCGGAAGGTGGCGGTTCAGGGCGGCGGCAGCGGCGGGCCTCGTTTCAGCCGGCGCTCCTTGCCTGCTCCAGCCGGTCATCTTCTGTGAGTCCCAGCCTCGTGAGGACCCTACTGAGGCCCTCTACCTCCTGATCGGCAGTGGTCATCACACCCAATGGCACCGCCGTGCCGCGCCGACGCGAGGGCACTCCCACAGTAACCTGCAAGACGATCAAAAGGAGTGAGAGAGGGACGCAGACTGCGGCGAGCCAGCTGGCGGCGGCGTGCTGCGCTGTGGGAAGGCGGAGGCGGCAGTGGTTTGCCAGCCGTCAAGGATTGGAACTGAGCCTGGCTGCCCTGCAGCCCATTTGAAGCTGGGGCCGATTCATTATGCCCAGGCGTGTAACAGATGCATGGCAGCAGGTCGAGCACGCCGGTGGAGGGGCGGGTCCAAAGCGGCTGGGCTGGCCATCTAGTCCCGACGTGCTGCTCAAGTGTCTCTTTACACAATGACGCTCACAACGGAGCTGCTGGCAACAGAAGCAGCGCCATCATCATCCACAGATATGGCCAGCAGCTTGGCCACCTGACATTCCGCAGCGGCCAGGATGGGACCCAGGCTGTTCCGCACAGGTGGGGGAATCGCCAGCCGAAACACACGCAGCAGCCAACAAAAGAGGAGGGCGAGTGTAAGAAGGACACCGCCGCCCGCGACTCCACACATGAGGGGCCCGGCAGCGTTTACCCCAGAGCATTCAGGTTTGCGTGCACCCCACACCAGCAGGAACACGCCGCCGCCAAGGCAGGCAGCATAGCAGGAGCTGTAAACGAAAGACGCGGCGACAGTTGCCAGCATGCCTTTGATATCTGGATCGTGACGGCCCAGCAGCACGGAGAGCAGGGCCAGGAGGCAGGGTCCGATGACGGGAAGGAGGAAGAACACGGCAAACCAGAAAAACAGGTCCAGAAACCGCCACAAGCGCCTGAGCCTGGAGCTGGGGGCGTGCTGCGCCTCGCGTAGGGCTGCCAAAATGCAGGCGATGACCACAGCGTGCGTCATCGCGGCGCCGGCGGTCGCCAGCGCAGCTCCTGGGAGCAGGAAGGCCCAGCAGATTGCCGGCATGGCGCAGCCTTTCTCCGATGGCGCAGCCTTTCTGCATGACAATTGCACGCCGATTGAGGCGTGCAATCCTAATCGGCTTGCAAATTGAGGCGGGCAGGGTTTGAGTGTGTTTCAATCACGGTAACGTGCAACCGGCGGCGACAGGGCGGAGTGCGCCACGCCCTGTCGCATACCTGCTACTACCGGCTTGTGCCCAGGTCCTGGCCGCTGCGGCCGTCAGGGTTCTTGCTGCACTCAGCAAACACGGCAACAGGGCAGTGCTCCAAGGGCTGCCCTTCCAAGGTTGGCGACAGCAGCGTTCATGCAGCAGCACTCGACAGGTTCAACGCCAGTTTGCTAGTATGAATGCAGATTGAAGAGAGCTCTAACTGGGAGTGTGGGCTTTGCCCTCCTGAGAAGGCTTCTCATGCAGGTGCCGCATGGTGGCGGCCGCGCACATTACACTGGAGCAGTGCTTTTGATCAGGGAGAATCAATTTTGAGGCCCATCAACAGGGTGCGCCCAGCCAACAACCCAGGGGCAGGCCACACAGCCTCTGTGCGGGGCGGCTGCTGATGGGGCGGGTGCGGCCACAGGTGGGCAGAGGGGCCGCCGCCGCCCCGCCTCAGAAACCCTCGAGCGGTGGGTTTGGTTGAAGGTCACCGAGAAAAAGCACGTGCACATCCTTGAATACACCCGTGTATAGGGAGGCCTCACCATACATGGTACCGCCCCGCATAAAGGGGCGCGCCGCCACCGCCGCTCTGCCAGTCACATATGGTCATGACCCAATCCTGCCTCCGCAACACCAGCTTGTATTGCCATTGCCGTTGCTTTTCCCAGCTCTACATCACAATATGCATTCCAGTTTGCCAGCCTCCACACTGCCACAGTCAGCCGGCCTGCTTTGCATGCTGCATTCCATTGTACAGAAAGCCTGTGCTGCATGCTTGCTCCAGTCCATATGTGGACTGTAGAATAAGCCCCTCGACGCCAGCAACTCTCCGTACTGTTGCCGAGTGCCTTGCGGCCCCTCCAGATCGCTTCCATCTGCGCATCTATAGTCAATTGAGATGAAGCTTCTGCTGCTGTCCCTGTTCCTGTTGCCGCTGGCGGCGGGGCAGCAGCCCGAGCCAAAGCCCGAGCCAGACTACTCCGACTACTCTAAACGAGTGGCTTGGGACCTCCACTCGCTAAAGCGGGCAGATCAGTGGAATAGAGAGATGGCGGCGCTGCTTGAAAAGGTGCGACTGGACGAGGATGGGTGGGCAGCCACGGCGGCGGCGGGTGGTGGCGGGACCCCTTTCCCCGCTCACGCGGGCAGCCCCCCTTGCCTCCTCCTCTCTTCCAGACGCTCACGCGGGCAGCCCCCCTTGCCTGTTCCTCTCTTCCAGAAAGACACTCCTGAGGGGCTGGCCGAGCTGCGCCTTCGGTTTGACGGCTGGGCGAAGGCATGGGGCAAGGTGTACCCGCCGATGTTCCGCTTGCAGCGGAGCGATCGGTTTATATTATGGCTGGATCGATTGAAGCAGGTAGTGAGCGAGAACCTGGCTGACTTCAGCTACTGGTCGGAGATGAACTTCTATGCAGACCGGTGGGTGGGTGCATTGGAGGAGATTGAGACCGTTGTTTAGCTCTTGGGGCCAACCAGTTGCATAGCCTGCTGGGCTGAAGTCAGCCCTCCTCCATACACCACCCCCCACCATGTCTTGCCAGCACCTATGCCGAGTTCGACGAAGAGTTCGATGGAGGCTTCAACCCAGAGCCAGACGCAATGGTGCTGGCGGCCGCCGCCACAGGGCGCACCACCCCGGTCAACGTTGCCAGCCTGAAGCTTGGGCGCCTGCCCCGCAAGGTCGACTGGGTGGCAGCTGGCAAGGTACGGTGGGAGTTGTGCCTGCGCTGCCACCTGGCAGCACCTTCTGTCAGCGGGCGGCACTTCCCCTTGTCCCAGGTGCCGCCTGCCTCGCTGCCTTGGTCACCGCCCGCCGCGAGGAGCGCTGCAGGTGCCGGCTGTGCGGCGCCAGGAGGAGCTAGACTGCTGGGCACACGCCGCAGCAGTGGTGATCGAGTCTGCATGGGCTATCCGCAACAACAAGAAGGCCTCCACCACCGTGAAGGCAGCCCGGGTGTCGGTGCAGCAGCTGACAGGTGAGGGAGCGTAGCCAAATGTGCCTGCGGGGCCCCCTTGGCGCAAAACCATTGGCCCGGTCCGGCAGCCTTTCGCATGCACCTGCCTCCTGGGGCCCTGCATGCATCAATGCAGGCAGCCAGCGGGTGGTGGCAAAGCATCCAGCCCCGCCGTGCCTTGCAGACTGCACCGGCCCGGCGGCCTCCTGCGCCGGCACCCGCTCCATGAAGTATGCTTTTGATATCTCCTACCAAATGGGCTCGGTGCCGGAGCGCACCTATCCCTACAAGGACTGCGCCCCGCAGCGCTGCCAGCGAGGGCTGGTGAGCAAGGTGCCCAGCGCGCGGCGCATCCGCCCCCCCAGGGCACCTGGAAGCCGCTCCATCCCCGCCTCCACAAACGTCACGGCCCTCATCGCGGTGGGTGGCTGCGTGGGTTGGGGACTGCTGGTTCTGCGCTGTGGGCTGTGCTGGGCTGTGCTGGGTACTGCGCTATGTGTTCACACGCCACTCACCCTGCTGGTGCCGTCACCTGCTGCAGGCCGTAGCCCGAGCCCCTGTGGCGTTTGCCGCTTGTGCATCGAACGAGGCCTTCCGCGATTACGCCGGCGGAGTGCTGGCCGCTCCCAAGGTCTGCAATTGTCAGTTAGATCATGTCATGGTGAGTGGCTGCGCTGCCGTACGGCGTGGCGGGCCAGCTGTTGGAGGCTGTTGTTGTGCCATCATCAACGTGAGCTGCCTCGTACCGCCTTGTTCTGCCCTTACCCCTGCCTCCATGCCCTCCTCCTCCTTCGCCGCAGGCCATTGTTGGCTACAACACCAAAGCCCCCGTGCCGTACTGGCTGGTCCAGAACTCGCGTGGGCCCTCTTGGGGGGCGGCCGGACGCATCAAGATCCGCATGGACGGGGCGGGCCCAGGCATGTGCAACATGTATCTGATGCCCCCAGAGGCCCTGCTGTGAGCTGCCCTGTAAGCTACCCCAGCTCGAGCGCTACAATTGTTCTAATGTACGACAGGATGGGGTGCCCGACCGCCTCCACAATGCGGCGCTGCAGCAGGGGGGCCAGAGAGCTATTGATCTAGAGCCAGTGCAGACCGAGCTCGACTCCCGCTGACACCTCACCCAAAGTAGCCTTCCATTACTTTACATCATTTGGGAGCTGTAAATGGTGTGCTTGGCAGATCCCTACTGGGGCCCGAGCCGGTGTGCCTCAAGTCACAGGTGGCGGCATGTTTTCGGCCGCGGACACTGGCGCATGCATGATTTTCATGTACATGTATAGCGGGCCTTCGGGCTGGAATGAAGTGTACTGAAGTGGCATTTTCAGAGCCTGGCGCCCTCGGGCCAGCAGCAGGTGACCGCAGGGCAGGCAGCCTCAGTGCATCACAGGAACTTGGGGCGATCCACCAGAGTGAACCCCTTGGAAACATACCTGCAGCAATCCCAGTGGGCACATGGGACAGGGATGTGCATGCATTTGATTGAGCGGGTTTGTGGGAGGGTTGCCACAGTTCGGACCTCACGCTGGCGCAAACAGCACAGAACAGGTGCAGTTGGGCTTTACTTGTCGTGGCGAGGGCCCATCCGCGGGTCTTCGTGCATCCAAAACATCTGGCCCTTGTCGGTGGTGGCGGGGTACTTGGTGCGCAGCATGTCGCCATCAAACCACGTGGCAGCAGCGCTCAAATCAAAATGATCCACAGCGTTCTGCACCAGCGCGGGTAAGGGGCATGGTGATGTTGTTGGCAGGCACAAGGAGCGAGGCATGGCAGGTGGGGCGCACAGCGAGCCCTGCCCAGCCGGCCAACAGTGCTGGGCGCGGCGTGGATGCGGTGGGCAGAGCTTGGCACGCAGATGGCCTTGCTCTCGCTCCTCTCCCAGCTTCCCTCCCTCCCGCTTCCGTCCCGGCCTGCCCTCCCGGCTTCCCTCCCTCACCTTGGCATCCTGCATGGTGATGATCTGCACCACCCGGCCCGTGCCAGGGTGCATAAAGTCGTGGACAGATATGATGGTGGGCTTCAGGGTGTTGTAGGCGCTGTGGTTGCCAGCGCCTGCCTTCCTGGCCAGGCCGGCCTTGTACTGAGCGGCGCTGGCGCTCTGGCCCTCCTCGCCGGAAGCTCCAAGCACGGCATACTGCCCGGTGGCGCCGCCACTCATGCCAAGCTGCCGCCGCCAGGCAGCATGAGCGAGTAGGGCTTGGCGGCCTCGCCAGACTTGGGGCGGGGGCGGTAGCCGGCGGGCAGCAGCACGCGCTGCCAGGCGGGCAGGGTGTTGAAGGGGGTGAAGATGTCGAGGTCTCCCTTGAAGGCGGCCACGGGGCCCAGGCTGGGCAGGTAGGCGTGCACCATGCTGCCGCCGGCGACCACGGCGCCCAGCGACTTGAGCGAGGCGGCCACCTGGTCGACGGGCAGGGAGAAGAGGTCAAAGACCTCGCGCAGGCGCGCGGCGCGCACAGCGTCCTGCAGGCGCGGGCCAGGAGGGCGCAGGCGGCGAGCGTGAGCCTCTGCATGGCAGGGTGCGGGCGGCTGCGGCGGGCGCGTGCTGCTGGCAGGCGGTTCTGCCAACGTCCCCTCCCCCGCCGCTGGTGGCAGAGATTGCCAGCAGGAGCATGCATGGCCACAATTGCCTGGCTGTCGCCCATCGAGACGGCCTTGGGGATGGGCTTGGTGGTGGCGGTGATCAGGAGTGCGTTGGGCAGGTCGGCCGTCTGGCCAGACAGCAGGCCCTCCTCCAGGCCCTTGTCCACTGAGCAGATGAAGGAGGCGTGTGTCACAGCCCTGCAGCAGGCGCGTAGGGAACGGGACAAGCGGTGCAGCCTGAATGGTGCGAGCGTGTAGCGTGTGTATGGCAATGCCGCCGCAGAATGGGTGCTGCTGTCATGAGTGCTTTGAATTCAAAAGGGCAAGCCAGGGTGCTGGGCGCGCCCGCTCGTGTTCCGTCCCAGAGGCGGCGCCGCTGCACCTGCGCCGACGCCACAGCCTGACGAGCAGGTAGACCAGGGCCGCCAGGGCGGCCACCAGCACGTGGATGGCGACCATCTCGTGTGCCTGCGGGCAGGCAGCGAAAACCCGGGTTTGCAAGCCAGAGGCCCGGGCCCCAATTCATCGGCGCTGCCAGAGGCGTGCGGAACCGCAGTGCCCGGCTTGTGGCAGAGGGCCGAGCGAGAGCTCTGCCCCGGCCTCCCTTGGGGGTTGGCTGGCAAGGGCACCTTTGTCGGCTTCGAATGCGGAGACTCTGTGAGTGCCGGCACTATGGCAGAATCGGCATGCAAGATGGGAAGAGCCTCCGTTCCTGCCCCCTCTGCCCTGCCTTTCCACCCCCTGTCGCCGCGGCGCCCAGCCGCCATGCAACCGCCCCTTCTCCCTCGCTTTTCAGTCGTCATCCCACAGTTGCAACAATGCAATGTACGAGCTGAGCTGCTCCGCAATCAATCAGGAGCTATAAGTAGCACGCAAAAGCAAGTGCCGGTGGCGGAGTGCCTTCTAGCGCGCGTCACGGGCCATGCTCCACAGTTTCTCCCTCGGCAGGCTAGCTCAGTAGGTGTACTCTGGTGAGTAGATGGGGTCCACGCTATGGTTCCACTCGCCATTGTACAGCCTCAACATTTGGTCCGCCTGCAGGCCCAGGCATGGCGCGGCGCACAACAGCCAAGATGGCTGTGACCAACGAGTGGCATGCATGCCGACGCCCCTCTCCAGCAATGTTTCAATTGATGCCCGCATGACAAGAACAGCTTCTGAAGGCCTTAACGTGGCGAACACAGAGCTTCTTAGCACCCACCGCCAGCGCCACCTACCTGCGTCTCGCCGCTCTCCGCAATCGCCTCTAGCTCCTTCAAAAACTTGGCCTCCTCCTTGCCTCGCCGCTCCAGCCCGCCCTTGCTAATGGCCAGCACCTGCACACCAAGGTGCCAGTCAGACATGAGCACACCCAGGTTGAGATGCAGCAAGGTTGGGGACAGGGAGCGAGCAGCATTGGGTAACAATGCCTGCGCCTGCTGGGGCTGACAATGCCAACCATTGTACCACCCCGCCAGAACCCCTGTTTCAGCTGCATAACTCTGCTTCCATTACAACACAAGCGCGCGCACCTGCTTTGCCAGGTCCTGCACCGTGCCGCCGCGGAAGGGGGTGCGCAGCGCGGAGCGCGGCACCTCGTCCCGCAGATACTCCCGCTCCTCGTGTGTCCAGTCCTCAATCAGTGCCGCCGCCTCCTCCTGCATAGAAGCAGCGATTGGGAGCAGGTGTGCAGCATGAAGTGACTGCTAGCTCCTTGAGGTCACACTTACAACACAGCAGCAAAAGCCGCAGTTCGAGTAGCGAAGCGCCTGCCAGGCACACGACTTGCGGCAGCCCAGCTCTCAGCGTGCCCCGGCCCAATGCGCACACACTACACGCCCACCTGTGCCTGCTGGTCGTAGAGGAGGCCCACCCAGAGGGCGGGCAGGCCACAGATGAGGCGCCAGGGCCCTCCATCCGCCCCCCGCATCTCTAGGAATCGCTTCAGCCGCACCTCCGGGAACACCGTGGTCAGGTGGGTCTCCCAGTCCTTGAGAGAGGGCAGCTCGCCTGTGGGGGAGTTGGGGCATGGGGCAGGTGAAGGTGGAGAGAAGAGCAAGGCAGAAGAGCAGCAAGACAGGCATCCACCCCAGCCGTCAAACCCGCCTCACCTGGCAGCCCAGGCAGCTTGCCGTGCATGAAGTCTCGGAAGGACTGCCCCGACACGTCGTGGTAGGTGCCGTTGCGGTACACAAAGTACATTGGTACATCCAGAACATACTCGACGTACCGCTCAAAACCAAACCCTTCCTCAAACACAAACGGCAGAGTGCCGCAGCTGCACATAGGATGGGAGGGGGAGTCGGGTCAGCACCTCGTATGGTGAACAGAAGAGAGCGGCCAAGTGGGCAGCGGGCTAATGCAGCCGCAAGAAACAGGCACATCCGGCGCCACGCCGGCTTCTCACCGGTCGGGGTCTGTGTCCGTCCACACGTGGCTGCGCCAGCTAAGGTAGCCCGTGGGCTTGCCCTCCTTGAAGGGTGAGTTGGCAAACAGCGCGGTGGCCACGGGCTGCAGGCATCGGAAAAAATGCAACAGGCATCAGAGCAGCGCCCTTGCTGCCTGGGACGGCAACATGCTTCTTGGCGCCTCCTGTGGGCCAGCCCTCCGGCCCCACGCCAGCCAGCCAGCCCCCACCTGCAGCGCCATGCCCACGCGCATCTTCTGGACCATGTCCGCCTCGCTCTCAAAGTCCAGGTTGACTTGGATGGTGCAGGAGCGGAACATCATGTCGCGGCCCAGGCTGCCGCGCGTGGGCATGTACTCCCGCATGATGGCATACCTGCAAGCGGCCCCAGTGGAACAACCCAAAACCACTGAATTTGCTTTGGAATCCTGTGCCACCCTTAGCGGCACGGGCATGAGGGAACAAGTCTGCCCCGCAGGCCGCCAAACCAGCGGGGGTGGGGGGCGGGGTTGATGAGGGGCGGGAGCTGGAGGCGGGATTGGGGGCAGTAGACAGGCAGCCGGCCCTTGAATCCAGGACCGGCACATCAGGACCGGAGCGATTGCGCACCTGGCCTTGGGCATCTTGGGCACGTCCTCGTACAGCCACTTGGGGTCAAAGCCCACCCCCAGGAATGCAATGCCCAGCTCCTCGCTGATGGACCGCACCTGCGGCAGCAAGCCAATGGCACAGGCTTGTTGCTGGCCTGTGTGGATCGTCCACTCCTCCATGTGCTGCGCTGCAGCAGGCCCCCACCAAGCAGTACCGCCTCACCTGGTACAGGTGGTTGTTGACCTCTGCACATGTCTTGTGCAGCGTGTCCACTGTGGCGCCGCTCAGCTCAAACTGGCCGCCGGGCTCCAGCGTCACGCTCTGCCCGTCCTGCGTCAGACCGATGATGTGCCCCTCCTCGACGATGGGCTGCCAGTTGAAGCGCTCCCCGATGCGCGTCAGCAGCGCCGCAATCTGCTCATACGTCAGCCGCCGCCCGTCCGCCACGTTGTACCCCAGCTTCTCGTGCTCGGTGCCTATCCTGCACTCGCAGCGGGGTGGGGCGCGCGTGGCGCAGGAGTGCAGGGGGCGGGCAGGTGAGCTGGTCAGCGCTCCCAGGCAGCTGCACTGCAAGGCTGAGTGCTACTTGGCCTCGGACGTACACAGTGTGTCAGCGACAGAAAACCCGCCACTGGCATCAGAGAGAGAAGAGAGTGAAGCTGAGCGGCGGTGCGCGGCCGGTAGCCTAGCCGCAACAGGCGCCCGTCCTGCCGCCTGCCCCCGCACCTCCATTGGTCCCTCGGCTTGCATCCTGACTCCAGGTATGCCACCAGATCGTCCTTGGTAAGCCGCTGCGTGGCTGGCTCGGCTGCCACCCCACGCACTGCCACCCGCCGCCGTTGCTTCAACTGCGTGCGCTGCCGTGTTGCCGGGGCAGCCACAGACACTGTGGCGGCCCTTGATGCGCACTGCATGGTCAGGGGCTGGGGAGCCTGCGGGCGCGAGGCTTGGTCACCGGCAAAGGGCGCATGCACGGCGGGGGGCTTGCTCAAAATAACACCAAAGCACCGGGATGGTGTTAGGGTGAACTGATCGAGGCCCTGATCGGCCCTTTGGTGAGCCCCCCTGTGAGCCCGCTGGCGTTGTCCAGCTGGCGGCGGCTGCGCTGCTGCTGCTCCAAAAGACAACCCAGGAGACTGCCTATCTTTTCGAAGCTCCCCTCCCTGCTGCAGCCTAGTAGGACTATCGCAGCCATGCAGGGGTCCCACCTATTGTGGTCGTTCTGTTTTTCACAATCGGTGAGGAGAAGGGATGTGTTCAAGCCACAGCGAGGGCTCGTGGGAATCAAATGACAACCACAATGAGCGGGCGGAGAGCGGGAGCTAAGGAGAGTGGGTGGAGGGCATGTAGAGCTGAGAGAGGGAAGGGCAGGGCGCTTAGGATAGGGGAATTAGTGTACAGCAGGAAGGAGGCGCGCCACAATGAGCGTCGCGCAGACTAAAACTTTGCTGGCGCTGCCAACGTGCCGGGGCGGCGTGCACGACAGATACACAAAAAGGGCTATCTGAGGCACGGCGCACATGCGTCATTCGTTGGGGGTGCTTCAGTTTGCTCTCGTCAGCGTTTAGCATCAGGCTGGGCACTGGGCCCTGCCAGTATGAGGCCATCTCTCACCAGCTGTCCTGGGTCTTGCCGCCGCTGAAGGTGTCGCCACCCAGGTCCCAGCCGGGGCTGGCAGAGCTGCGGCTGTAGCTGCGGCCTGCAGAGCTGTCACCTTTACCAGCGCTGCGCTCAAAGCGGTTGCCGCCCTCGCGGCGCTCGTAGCTCCCGCTGCCGCCCTCGCGGCGCTGGTAGGCCCCGCTGCCGCCCTCGCGACGCTGGTAGCCCCCGCTGCCGCCCTCGCGACGCTGGTAGCCCCCGCTGCCGCCCTCGCGGCGCTGGTAGCCCCCGCTGCCGCCCTCGCGGCGCTGGTAGCCCCCGCTGCTGCCCCCCTCGCGGCTGCCATAGCTCCTGCCACCGTCGCGGTCGCCATACCGGCCACCGCCGCCGCCGCGGCCGCCACCGCCGCCGCGGCCGCCCATCATACGCCGGCGCTCAAAGAAGCTTGAGTCGTCGCCGCTGCGGCAGGAGGAGCACGGGGGCAGGCCAGGAAGGTGAGGATCACGCCTTGCAGGCAAGTGCAGCCTGAACGCCAGGAGCACACAGCACGCCTCAAAGCCGCGGCTGCCTCCTTCCCTCTTCCAACGCCCCACCCTGCTCCTCCTCCCCCTAACACCGCCGCCGTCCAGCCCGGTGCGCACCCGCGGCCGCCGCGGCTGCCATAGCGCCCCATCTGGTACAGGTCCTCCTCAGCCGGCAGGCTCTCGGGCACGGTCAGCGACACGCCGCGCTTGTGCAGCTCATCCACACGCGCCATGATCTCCCGGCCCAGATCCATGGGCACATCAAAGGCGGCGCCTGCGGGGAGGCCAGGGGAAAGCGGCAGGCGCAAAAGGGAGCTTCTCAGCACTGACGGTGCAGCAACACGAGAGCATATGTGCAGGCCCTGGCTGGTGCTGGCCTGGGCTCCCATGCGCTGCCTTGGGCGGCCACCCTAGCTGCATGCCCTGCACAGCCACCGCTGGTGCCGCTGCCGCTGCCGCCGCCCACTCACCGCA